TTTATGTATGAAATATTTCAAACATAAAAATAGAGAATAATATAACTTATGTGTTAGGCCTCATATTTAATACATACGCTTCAGGTATTTAAAGACAGAAGTAGAACTGAATCCCATACCCATTCTCTTCCTTTCGAGGACCTAGTCCTAGAAGTGGAATGCTGGCTCATAGGATATACACATATTTCACTCTACCAGTTTTTGTCAAAAAGCTACTGGGTTTCTACCAGTTTAATAATCCTACCGGCCATGTATGAGAGTTCTAGTTTCCCCACATCCTTATCAGTGTGTGTTATCAGACTTTAAAATATTTGCCAATCACATAGGAGAAATGTGATATCTTCTTACTTTTATTTTTTAAAATATTTTTATTGATTTAAGAGAGGAAGCGAGAGGGAGAGAGTGATAGAAACATCAGTGATGAGAAAGAATCATTGATCGGCTTCCTCCTGCACGCCTCACACTGGGGATAGAGCCCGCAACCCAGTCATCCGGTCATCCAACCGGGAATTGAACCGTGACCTCCTGGTTCGTAGGTCAACATTCAACCACTGAGCCCAGCCGGGCATATCTCCTTATATTTAATTTGCACTTTACTGATGATTAATAAAGTTGAGTACCTCTTCATATGTTTACTGAGCATTTGGGTTTCCTTTTTTGTCAGTTGCCCTTTGCTCATTTTTTTAAAAATTGCTGTTTGACTTTTCCTATTGATTTGTAGCAGTTTGTTATATATTCCCGACATTAGTCCTTTGTTATCTGATGAAGATATCTTCCAGTCTCTGCCTGTCTTCTTATATTTTATGGTGCCTTCGTTGTAGGAAAAAAAAACTTAAAAATTCTAGTTCATGGTTTTCCCATCCATCTGTCACCAAGTCCCCAAATATGTAGGACTGTTTCTGGCCTTTATTCTTTCCTCTGAGTCAGGGTTAGGTTTGTCTATCTTTGTCTGTCTCTCCCTGCATATTACCATATTGTTTTCATTATTATGTCTTTGTAATAAGTCTTAATAGCAGGTAGGATAGGTCATTCCTTTCATACCTATTCAGAGGGTCTTGGCTATTTTCCACCCCTCTCCATTTTTTTCATTTTATTTCTGTTCCTGTCAATAATGCCACCAATTTTCAGATTTACTCTGTTAAGCTACCATTGAAAATTTACCTCACTGCCCACATCCAGGACTTCAGTAAAGTTCTAATTCTCCCTTTGATCGGCATTACCATCCAGTCCTCTATAGCTGTTTCCACAGTTACCCTGGTCCAGATGTTCATTGCCTCAAGCTGCGTTCTCCCTTTGCCTCCATGTCTCCATGTGCCCCATTCGAAAATGTCTGGACTTACCTACTGAAGTCGCAGTCTGGTCTCTCAGATTCTAGTAGTGATTTCTAGGGGGCATGAGTCTTGCCCAGGATCACTCTGGGAGTCATTAGGAGGCTGTCCTTGCTTCTGGTGCCATGGGTCATGCTTAGAGGCCACAGGAAAGCTCAGAAAAAGACTAGAGAAGCCAAATTTGGGCTCTTGGCTCACATTGGTACATTTGTGGTCACAGTTTGTGGTCCTCATGGTGGAAGATGGTTGGTGACCTTTCCCTCGAGTTGGGGATAATATAAGAGCTCAGCAGGTCCCTTTCACATGGCTCTAACATGGAGAGACTATGAGCACCAGGAGGCGGTTGTTGGGGGTAGTAGCATAAGCAATTCCAAGGACTAATCCCAGTGACCACTAGGAAAGGTTCTGAGGGTGACCTTGGCCACGCCTTGGGGAGCCTTCCGAGGGTGCTCTGGAGCCTGATGTCTGGGACCATGCCAGAGGCCCAGATGAGATGGCAGTGGCCTCATATGGCCTGGGAAAGATGTTTACCAAATAGGAGATCCCTTTCATTGAGGGCCTTCCTCTGACCCTGACTCTTCCAGACAGGCTGAGTCCTTTTAATCCCCATGACATGGTTTGCATGCCTTTTGCATATCATTTTTCTTTATATCTTCCTTCACCAAATCACGTCTCACTTCAAAATGATGTTCAGAGCTCCCTTCGCCCACAGAACGCCAGCTTCCCCTGTCTCAGCCCCAGCCCTTCACTCGCTCGCCTTCGCGTGGCACCACTGTGCTTCGATCCTGGCTCTCTTTTTGTTTACACTTACATGTGTTAGTTTTCTCTTAAATCTTCTTGGGACTTCTCTTTCTATCTAGCCTGTCATTCCTAATTACATTGCTTCTCAAGAACAAGGATTATCTCTCTCTCACCCTTTGACTCTGCCCAGTACAGACCATTGCTCAGCACATTGGGTCAAACAACAGAGAGTGGGATTGGCTGGGTCCAGATCGAGGTTTATCACTTGCTATGTGACCTTGAACAAATTACATAACCTTTCTGGGCTTCAGTTGTCTTGTTTATAAAATGAGAATAATAATACTTTCCTCATAGGGTATTGACTTTGCAGATGTCTCAGATGGGGGAAGACAATAAATGCTGCCTGTCAGTATTATTATTACTAATATTAATGTTAAGATATTATAAACCATGCCAAAACATGTGGCTTCAGGTGCCACATACAAATTTTACAGCTCAGTGATGCTGTCAATTTAAATCAGTTACATGTTGGCATCAGAAAAATTGACTTTCCTGACTGAGGCGCTGTTGATTACTCCTGTCTCACCCATTTCCTCCCTTTTCCTTTGATAGGCAGGTCCACCAGATCCAGTCTCACATGGGACGCCTGGAGACGGCAGACAAGCAGTCTGTGCACTGTGAGTAATTAGCTATGGAGACCAGAGTCCTTTCTCTGATGACACGGTGCTAATGGGCTGGGTTTCCTGACTGCCTTTCTGCCTCAGGGGCTTAATGATTCAGCGTGGAATGAGTTCTGTTGTTAAGATGCAGAAAACCCTGTAGCACAGTCACTGATTTCCCTGATTGTGCCCTTTGGAATCCCCCAAGTCGCATCCCCCATTACCCCTCCACTCAACCTGACATGGCCCTGTGGGAGTGGAAGTTCTTTCCTCCATCTGTCTTAATCTAATTACCTCGTCCTTAGAGGAATGTGCTCCATAAAAAGTCGGACGTATTTAACTGGAATTGGTCATTTCTTCTGAGCTGAGAACTGTGGCTTTTTAGAAGGCTTATTCAGAAATGAATAGCAATATTCATTAATTTAGTTCCCACACCATGATTTCTTTTGAGAAGAGGGCTGCTTTGTGGTTTTTAGTGTCTTTTCTATCATAAGAAAAGGTCCTTTTTCTGAGTCGGTTATACACAATGCTGGCTACCCACACACACAGAAGCTGCCTTCTCACCTCGCTGCTTGGCTGTCACCATGCTCGTTTCTCCGTCTCCTTTCCACAGCTTCGGAGCATCCCTTCTCTCGGTTCTGTGCCCCACTTTGTTCTAATCTGTATTTGTTAGCTGACCTACAAAGGTGACATTGCTGTCTCTCGTTCATGGGGCGAGAAGCAGTCTGCTTGTGTGCACAGTTTAGTTTCTGTCCATTGACTTTGTTTGCCTTCCCAATAATCTCATTGTTACATGATTAGAAATGGAAAAGAGGCCATTTTGACGGTTTATCACAAGGGATAAGGAAAATGACTGTGTTTATCATATCTTTACTGCTATGGATTCTTTCCTGGGCCTTTCCTTCTGATACTTGGTCTATTTTGGGGATTCCAGCTTCAGCCCACCCATTCTTATGGAAAGCCATAAGGGAACTCTCCTCTGTTTCAATTACTAATCTTCCCCTTTGTGTGGGGGGTGTTGTTTTTTTTTTAACCTTATTATTATAGGGAATTCAACTGGCAGTCTTTTTACTAGATATTTCTAATCTATATCTGAGAATAATCTCAAAGGAAAAGAGACCTCATGCTGTATCAGAAAATACTGACTTTTGCTTAAAGACTTTTTGGATAACATTTAAATGTTCATTTTATTTTCTAACAGCAGGAAATTTATATCTACAGATTGACCCTCTTAAAAATTGGCATTGTTATATCAACAGCTATATATACATATTTGAAACAGCATTTACAGAGTCACTTAGTATAACTTGAACTTTTTTTATTATTCAATAGCATATGCATTTTTCTCCTTTTGAAATACATATTTTGAGTCTATTGGGTATGGAAAAAGATATGTTTGATTTACCATTCTAATTTAAGTTCACTATCTCTTTTCCAGCAATTATTCTTTTTTCTCTTTTGTGCAGTAGTAGAAAACGAAATCCAAGCAAGCATAGACCAGATATTCAGCCAGCTAGAACGCCTGGAGATTTTGTCCAGCAAGGAGCCCCCCAACAAAAGACAGAATGCCAAACTGTGAGTGCTCTAACACCCCAAGTCCTTAAGACAGGTCTTTCTCCCCGGGGAGGCTATTGAATGCTCTGAAAATTCATTTACACATTGAAAAACTGATACTATGCGAAGTTAAAGTCCCCGTAAAGGGTGCAATTTTATTCTCTCAAAATAAAAATGCTGTGATTTAGTGGCTCAGAAGTTTTGTGTCTCCTTACCTCATTGGTGTCATTTTGAAAAATTGCCTCCAGTACTGTTTTTCTGTCCAAACCCAAGGCCACTTGAAGCCTAAGTGAGTTTACTCTACCCTTTGGCTCCCACTACATTCTTGGGTTGAAATGAATCTTGCTCTTAATCACTTCAGTCAGTCTAATTATAATGAAATACCGATCTAATGTTTGATAGTCCCCCCATGAAATTAAAATGAAACCACCCTCACCACCTCTACCCCAGCCCCTGCTCCCAAAAGTTTTATGAAACTTTGTTGATGCTTTACGCCAAAGATGCCCTTGGGCTTCTTCCAGGAGAGTGATATAATCCATAGAAGGTCAGGAAGAGGTCACTGAGCCTGTTTCCTGTCACCTGTTCCCTGTCATGCATCCAGAATCAGAGACCAGCAGGTATTTAAGTAAAGCTGTTGGAATCTCGTGTGCTACAACCCTACTTTAACCACAAGCTACTTCTTTATTTTCAACATCATTGATCAAAATCAGATTATTTGGGGTGGGGGGATGGCATGGAGTGGCATAGGAAGAGGTAAGGCAAGTCTTCTTTCCTGAATACAAAGCCTGGTGACCTCAAATTGTGCCACTCTGGGTTCCTGGGATGTAACATCGATCTCTCTCTTAATTTCAGTCGTGTTGACCAGTTAAAGTATGATGTCCAGCACCTGCAGACTGCTCTCAGAAACTTCCAGCATCGGCGATATGCAAGGGAGCAGCAGGAGAGACAGCGAGAGGAGCTTCTGTCTCGCACCTTCACCCCCAACGTAAGCCAGGCGCCGGGTGGGAGTCTGCAGGTCCTTGACAGCTCATTGAAGCTGGAGCTCGGGGTCTGAGCGGCACCCTTTTAGGTGGTGTCTGAAGCAGACTGATGAGGAGACCAACTGGAAATGACAGTGGACCTTGTGCACTGCCACAGAGACTATAACTAGACAGGGAATCTCTTTTTCTAACACAGAAACCTGAAGAGGAAGCAGTTAACTTGAGGGAATGAGCGGGGGTGAAAATTGCCTGCTTTGACTGGGCCGATGCAGAGAGGTCGTGGTTGACATGGTAGAAACGTTTTTTCTGATCAGATAGAGACAGGTGATTAGAACTTAGGCCATTTTTAGTGAGGGCAGCATTTCAAAGCTGCCTTCGGGCAGTTGCCTTTGTGCTGAGTATGTGTGTGGTTCCAGTGTCAGGTGCATTACAATGTTTTTGTCCCTCGTCTGAGCAGCAGTTTTGGAGGAATTTGTTAACAGATTTTTTGTTTTAGATGGATTACTTGTTTTGAGCCTATTTGAAAGTGGCCTATTGGTTTTCATGTTTGATTTTGTAGAACACCATTGTCCCTGCCCTTTGGTTTCAATAGGATCATTTTCTGCACATGATGTAGGACATACTGACCTTTTTCTTGTGTCCTACATATTATATTCCACCAAATGAGGTGGGTTTGGGGGTGGTTTTTTGTTTTGTTGTTTTGTTTTGTTTGTGTGTGTGTGTTTTTATGGAGATGTTTGTTTTCTAAAGAGGTCTTAGCTTCCTAAGCCTGACATCAGAACAAATCAGTTCCCAATTTGCAGATGTTTAACTCTTTGCTGTACACTTGTAGTAAATTTCCCCAAGTGTTTCAGAATGTACCTCTGTAGTTTCTGTGTCTCTAGAGTAAGCAGTCAAGTAACAATGACTAAAAAAAAAAAAAAAAGTAACAATGACTAACAATTCAAAAGTGTGATGGAGACGTGTTGGTGGTATAGTGGTAAGCATGGCCGATTTTCAATAGTGTAATGAACTCTATGACACTCTGGAAGATGTTATGTGGGCTTTTGATTGTTACTTGGGCATTTTTTAGGCTGGGGACTTGCTGAATGAACTTCCTATTTATTCTATGATCTGGAACTATCATACATTTTTCTGAGAGATAGTGGCTCATCAGCTCTACCCTTTCAGGTGGGAAAGTAAGAAAGATTTGTATGTAAAAGGCATTCAATAAATGCTTGCCAAATAAATGAAGTCTTTAATTGATTTAAACACTGCAGTCTTGTGACCCGCTGAGCCTTAGCTGTATGCAGAACACTGTTTAAGGTGCTGAGAATAGAGGGGTGAGAAATCCTCTGTAGGCAAGGGGAATTGAAAATGTGTGCATTAATAATTTTGAACTTGAACATCAAAGAAAAGGTGATTTGACCTCTTTGTAATGATTAAAAGTGGTAAAAATAGCCCTGGCTGGTGTGACTCAGTTGATTGGAACGTCGTCTTGAACACCAAAAGGTCGAGAGTTCGATTCCTGGTCAGGGCACATACCTAGGTTGCACGTTCAATCCCTGGCCTTGGCAGGATATATGCAGGAGACCGATCGATGTTCTCTCTCTCTCTCTCCCTCCACCTTCCTCTCCCTTTCTCTAAAAATCAATGAACATGTCCTGGGGTGGCTCAGGACATGTGGTAAGAATGGCTCTGGTTGACAGAAGAGTTTGTAGTCATCAGGAGGCAGGAAAGAGAACAGTATTATGGCTGGTCATGAATTGCTTCTGTGTACAGTGCACTTTCAGTTTAGAGCCTAGGATTGGTCCTGATGTTTCTCCTGACAGGATGGCTAAGAGAGCAGACTCTGCACTCAGTACTGGGATTCATGCCTTCCTGGACTTCTTACCAGCTCTGTGAGAACTTGAACAAGTTATTCCAACTGTCTGGGCTTCAGTTTCCTCATCTCTAAGTGGGGATAATATGTTTACCTCATAAGGTTAGGATGAGGATTACATGAGCTTAGGGTAATGAGCATGCAAAGTGGAAAGTACTTGATCAGTATTAGTTTTTGTTTCCCTTCCTTTTTGTGCAGATTTTTCTTGCCTGCTCAGGAGACCAGTCCCGTCTGAACATTATTTGGGCGTCAGTAAGAAAGCACTGTCTCTTCTGTCCTTAGTCGGTGTCAGTCTAGACTCTAGGTGGAGGGATAAGCTATGGATAAAATAGCTAAAGAACAAAAGCAAACATTTCATGTGGTATTAAGGGGAAGCCAAGTAAAGGAACATTTGGAACAAGCTAGGTTCATGAGCAGTCAGAGAAAGACTTTGAGAGAAGCCCATGAGGTCTTGAAGGAATCGCTTTTCCCAAGTGGGGCTAATGACAAGAGGCAGGAATTAACAAGACTTGTGTAATGGATCTGAGGAAAGGGACAGAGGCCACTCCAGATCATTGCTTTGCTTTTTTTTTCCTCTATTAGGTTCCTCTGATTCTTGCACCATTCCCTCTGACTATTCTTCTGGCTTGGCCTTAACCAACAGGCAGAGCTGTCAGACGCGGTGGGACCGCAGGGGCTGACCAGCAGCAAAGTTAATCAAGTGCCTGCGTTTCTTTCACAGGACTCTGACACCACCATACCAATGGATGAATCACTGCAGTTTAACTCCTCCCTCCAGAACATTCACCACGGCATGGATGACCTCATTGGAGGCGGGCACAGTATTCTGGAGGGACTGAGGGCCCAGAGAATGACCTTGAAGGTGGGGGCCCTGCTGGGGGACAGGGAGAAGGCCTCTTGTTTTGGCCTAATCCAACAGCTTGGTACCTGCATTTGCATTTTGATTACATATCCCCAAATTGTGATACTGTGATGGTGAGACGGAGCCCTTTAGTTTGGGATCCTTCCTTTGGTGTCAAATTATTATGAGTCCAACAGTAGCCCAATTGCCTTTGCCAGTAGGTATTTCTTGTGCTTGCAACGAATCATAATGTGGCATCTTTTGGTATCCAAGTCTTGTCCCACTTACTGAAGGTGACTGCTGCTCTGAGAGGAACCAATGATAGACTAAGAAATTGTTATTTAGTCCACTCATAGAAAGAAGACGTGGCTGTACTCTGGCACCTCGCAGCCAGGTGTTTTCTCGTAAGGGCCTCTGCGTGGACTGCTTTATCACTGAGACCTTTCTGTGCTGTGGTGACTGAACCCCCAGGGGTGGGGTCTCAGGGCTGCCTGGTTGTTTAGCAGGAGAGAGCTTCTAGAGCACATGCTAGTGATCCCCAGCAACTCCTCACTCACTCTTTAGCCTCAGGTATTGCTGGAAGCCCTGCCCCATTGGCTGAGACTCCAACCCTCTGGGAGTAGTTTACAGAAACATTGCACAGACTCTGATGTCAGTCGTGATGTTTCAGCCTCAGCCCTTTTCCTGTATCAACTCTGATGGATAATGGGGTGTGGACTGTGCCTTATTATCAGGGTGTGGTTCCCTGTGAACGAAGCACTCCCAGCCACTGAGCTGTGAGAAATAGTCCCTCGGAAGCGCGAGCTTTATCTTAGTTTTTCTTGGACCATGTTGAGGCGGTCAGCTCCGCGGGCCTTCGGTACATTTCTGCCAGGGGGAAGGTCAGGCAAGCCACGAGTGACATGTAACCTCCTGCTGACGGCCTGAAGTGTGGTCTCCGACAGCTTCACGGTGCCCTCCTTTCAGAACCGCTACCTGCAGTAATCTAACCCCATACACGTTGATTAATCCGCCCTTTCTGTAGAACACGGCTGGCCTCATTCCCATATCTCAGAAAAACAGTAAAACCCTTTTAGGACAGGGCTCACCATGTCACACTAACCTCGAGCAGTGGGGGTTAGAGCCTATTGTTAAGGAGAATGTTGGCTTCCTACTGCAGTCTGGTATCACTGAGGAGTGCAAGCAACTCCTGCCCCTGCACGGTCCCCGGCAGGGAAGTGCTAGGAAGCCTGTGAGGTGGTCAGAGGCTGGAATGAAGTTGCTAATCCCGTGTCCTCTACACACACCACTACCTGCCTTCTTCCCTCCACCTGCCTCCCACCCCACCTCTGTAAGGGAAGTTTTTGGCTTTAACCGTTTGAAATTAACATGGGAGAGAACATAAAGGAGCTGGGCCATGATTTGGGACAATTCCTGGTTGAAAATGTTTTATTTTGGGGGAAAGTTATGGTAATTTTTAGGTGATTTTAGAAGCTTGATGCTTGAACTTCAGATGGTGAGGAAATACGCACTTTCAGAGCTGAGCAGAATCTTAGTGAGAGTCTAGTATTCACCATCGCCGTATGGAAAAGCATATCTCTGCTCTCCTCTGGCAATAATCAAGTTTGACTTGTGAGATCTCTCAGTGAGGCTTTGAGATCATTGTCTGGGCAGTACGTAGGTCTGCATTCCTGTCCGTAGTGCCTCGTGTCATTCTCGCTTCTCTTGCTGCTTCTCGTTTGCTTGTTAATGTGTTGTTCATTTAAAAAATGGGTGTGGGGCATTAGGTTAGATGCCACCCATACAGATGCAGTTGGTGATGTGTGAAGTAACTTGGGGTCTCCCCCGCATTCATCCATATTTCTTGTTTCATACGAATTTGAACATGATTAAAAATGAAAATTAGAAAGCAGAGAGGAAGAGCAGGCTGGGTGGTTTGGGCTTTTGGTTTAGGAATAAAACACCCTTTTGTTTTTGGTGGTGGGTGGTGACATTTATATAAGGGGTTTTAGATCATTGTGTTGGTGTCTGTCAGTTGTGTTTCTGTCATTCCATCTTGCCCACTTCAAACCTTCTCTTAAACCTGGGCACTAGCCCAACGTGTTATACTCAGCAGCATCCTGATAGCAAGGATTTTGGAGCTAGGGAGCAGAGACTGTTTGAATATAAAATATTCTAATTTAAAATTTTTATTGAGGTATCATGTACATGCAAGGAGGTATACAGATCTTCTTTGTATAGGTCGTTGAATTTTGACAAATGCATGCATCTTTGTAATTCACACTGTATCAAGGCATAGGCTGTTTTCATCGCCCCTAAAAGATCCCTGGTGCCCTTTCCAGGTCAGTCTGCCCCTTTCCACAGGCAACCACAGTTCTGATTTATTTCACCATCAATTAATGTTGCCTGTTATTGAACTTCATATAAATGTATTCATGTTACTATTTTGTGTGTGGCTTCTTCTCAGTGTTTCCCAGGCTCTTTCATACTGTTACATGTTGATAATTAGGTCCTTTTTATTGTCAAGCAGTATCCCATTGTCAAATGTATCATAAGTTGTTGATCCATCCTCTGGTGTTAGACATCTGCATTCTTTCCAGTTTTAAGATATTTTCCTTTGTTTTCTTCTAGAAGCTTTATTACAGTTGTAGCTTTTATGTTTAATTCTATAATCCAAATTAAGTTTTATATATAATATGAATCGAGGATCTTTTTTTTTTAAATTAAATCTTTATTGAAAGTATTACATATGTCCCCCTTTCCCCCCCATTGACCCCTTCTAGCCCGCCTCCACCCCAGGTCAAGGATCATTTTTTTACACAAATATATATGCATATACATAGATACCTATATATAATTTATATAAGACGTGTGTGTGTAATACATACATGTGATATTTATTATAAAACCAGTTGTTCCAGCACATTGGTGGAAAAGACTTTTCTTTCCCCCTTGTGTTGCTCTGGTATCTTGATCAAAAGTCATTTGACCACATGAGAGTGGTTGATGCTGCTTTGTATATGCTTTAGGCTTGACTAAGAGACTATTGTTGGTAAAGCCCCACCTCATAACAATGTTCACCCCCCTGTTTTTCTTTCTCTTTTCTGCCCCAGGGGACTCAGAAGAGGATCCTTGACATTGCCAACATGCTGGGCTTGTCCAACACAGTGATGCGGCTCATCGAGAAGCGGGCTTTCCAGGACAAGTACTTTATGATTGGTGGGATGCTGCTCACCTGTGTGGTCATGTTCTTCGTGGTGCAGTACCTGACATGAGCCAGCTAAGCCCAGCAGCTGGACAACGTTCCCACTGCATGAGCGTGTGTGACTGTGTATGTGTGCGTGAAAGAGAGAAGGGGAGCCCAGAGGCCATGTTTTGAAATGTATGTCCGTCTTAACTGTGAAAACCACTCAGAAGTAATTGTGATCTGTAACCCAGTGAGCGTTTCAAACCTGCTCTGTTTGTGACATCTTGGAGAGGATGCAAGTGCTACCAAGATTCACGGTGCGTAGGAAATGAACGAAGTACCTGTTCTCTCTTTGTCACTCTCGCTCACTGGGGGAGGAGGTGATGTAATGGTAGGGGATGAAGTAAGGAAAGGAAAAAAATGGCTTTGGTGGTTTTGTCCACATATATGCACATCCCTGGAAGGCTTTCACAGTGACCCTTTCGGACAGGACTGTCCACACTTTGTCATCACCCAGCTTTTCCGGCTCCTAATGGACAGGATTGAGCAGAAGTGGAGAGAAGGAGGGGAAAGAGGTCTTCTTTCCCTGCATTCATTATAGCAAATGGATTCACCCCCCCCCCCCCCCCCCCCCAAATGACATGCAGATGACTGACAGCTCCTACTTGTCACCCTTTCCCAGAAGCCGCTCCCTAGAGGAAACGGGCATTGGTGCTGTTGCTGACGAGTAAGATTTTCCACATTACAGCTGTTGGGTGTTGCTCCTTTCTAAACTGAGGCCACTATTATTCTCTGGGCATGTGCAGTCTTAAGACTAAAGACCCTAGTTACTGGAATGGTTGGCTTTTAAGGTTCCAAGACTGCAGCCTGGCACCCATGCCCAGGCTTTGTTGGGCTTTGGCCCCTTAGAAAGTAGCTGTGAGCAAAGGTTAGTGATTTGTCCATTACAGTCTCATCTCTAATTTTAACATCCCTATCTCTTTGGCTCTCTTTTCTTCCCTTGTAATATATTAGCAACTGCCAGCCAAGCCCCCGCTCTGCCCAGCCAGTGTGGGCAGGTGCCACCCTAAAACTGTCTCTGGTGTCCTTGTGAGACCAGACCCTTTTCCCTTTTCTGACCAACCCTGGATTAAGAATGGTTCATCGTAGAATTTATTGTAAAGGCAGTCTGTCTGTTTTGATTAATTGCTGCAAGTACCAAAAAGACCTGGTTGGCATATTGTTTTCATCAATGACAGGCCCTCCCAGCCCTATGCTCAGTAGCCTTATGGCAAGACATTCGCTAGCACTCAGAATTTCCCAGACTGGAAACCTGGTCAGTATTATTGCCACCTTAGATTGTGTTGCTCCACCTACTGTCTTTGTTTCACTACTTGGACTGTTTTCTGTTTCTTTCCCTTTTCTGTGTGTGTTCCATTCAACCTCCCTTTTTACCTCCCTCCTGTTTCTGTAGCAGTATTGGTCTTTTAAGCAACATCTGTGACATAGATCCCCTTTTGGTAAATGTTTCTTAATAGTCACAGATTTTTAACATGAGTTTCCTGGGTACTGATTTCACACTTTTGGTGGAATCTCTTTTGCTCTGGCCCATGGGTTTTCAAGGAAGGGAAAATCCATGACCCTTCGTACAAGAATTGAAGGCCCTGACAGAGTGAAATGATGGCCTGGAGAGAGGGGTGGAGAGAGGGGTTGAGGCATCTTCGCCCTGACAGAGTGAAATGATGGCCTGGAGAGAGGGGTTGAGGCATCTTGAGACCGAGATCTAACTTTGGGCAGGTACAGTTTGAAATTTCCCTCATATCCAGCACCTCTGTCATCCTCAGGACCCAGCGTAGGCCTCTTAGCAGTCCATAAAATGGGTTTTTAAACTGCACAGACCTGGGCACCGGAAGATCTTGCCAGACAGTGCACTTTGGAGGAAGGTGCAAAAGGAGCAGCTAAGCCATTTGGACTTGAACTCTGGGAGAGCAAAACTCGCTTTCCCCCCCCCCCCCTTCCCATTGGCTGATGTGACATCTGTTTGTAGTGTGCACCACTATGTTTCCACACTTGCCTTTATAGTGATCGTTAGCCTTGATGAACCAGCAGTAAGGCCTTCCCCGACCTTCAGAGCCATTCTCCCTACTCTGTAATAAAAATTGTGGAGGCATTTTGTGGGTCTTCCGTTCTGGCTAGGGAACTGTAGCTACAGTGTGTCTGTGAGAAACGCACGCCCGCTTCTGTCTCCACAACCCATGTCGGCATGTAGGGAAGGGCCCAAGGCCAGGACAGGAGCACCACCTAGTGGAGTCAGGGTGAATTACCAGGTTGAGCTGGTGCAAGAATCTCCAGTTGACAGGCTCTGTGACCTTGTCTGGGCTTTTGGTAAAAGGTTTGCCTGTTGTGGTTTAAGACAAGTGGGTTGTCAAGGAACTTGGAAATATCTTCTTTCTGTGGCATTTACTCGTGTGACCACCTTAAGAAAAGCCAAATTCGAAGACCAAATAAATTGGAGAGTCTTGATTTTTATAGGCTTCATTGCTGGGATTTTTCCTAAGTCCTCTGCCCTAATGAACTTAAATGGGTTTTATTTGCAAATTTGGACTTAAACCCATTGTTTTTTAAACACATCAGTTGAATAAAATTGAGATTTATTTTCTTTAGAATGTTACATTTTGTAAAGAAACTTGACATTCATTGTAACTAATGATCTCCTTTTTATTTATATTTATTGATTTTAGAGAGGAAGGAAAAGGGAGAGAGAGAGAGAAACATTAATGATGAGAGAGAAGCATTGATTGGCTGCCTCTCTCACACACCCGACTGGGGATATCAAACCCACAACCCAGGCACATGCCCTGCTGGGAATCAAACCCTGACCTCCTGGTTCATAGGTGGACCTGGTTCAAAGCCAGGCTAATGATCCCTTTTTGATGTTTTCAGGCCAGACATTCTCAGACATTGCTCCATGGCTAGGGGCGGGTCTGGCTGCTTCAGAAGCAGCTGGGAAACTTTTAATTATGATTCTTGGGAGTCTACCCCAAACCTTCTGAATTAGAATATTTGTGTTAATCAAAGGTGATAGCATTTGCAAATGTATGCTGAACTAGTTCAGCGTATATGCCTGAAGAACAAAACTTATAAAGTCCCCAGTAAGCCGTACTTGTTTACATCCTATCTCAGAAAAGATTCAAGGAGAATTATAGGAATTAACGAAAGCAGTGAAATATCAAGAAATGATCAAGAACAAATCAGAGTAGAATGTCAATACCAAGGAAAAGACTCAATTTAAATCATGAAGCCCTACTGAAGTGCTCTGGGGAATCCCTCATTTGTCTGTAAGCCCCCAAAGCCAAAGCAAAGAGAAGCATGACTTGTTAGTGTCTAAATGGGGGGTGGTAAGGATGGGGATGTCTTATTTGCTCAGGGGGGCACCCAGACCTTTAATACTGCTAGCTTGCCTGGAGCCCTTACTGGAAGTCAGCCATGGTTATTTTCCTAGGCAGCTCCTCTGGTCTTCACAAACCCTCTGAGTTAGGGCCTCTATTGTCCCCATTGTGTATATGAGGAGGCTGGGTTTAGTGACTCCTACAGCTCCGGTGAGGAGTCCTGGAGGAGCTGGCCTCTCTTCTCTATGGTTTCATAGCCCAAGCTCATGATCTGCACTGACCTGACTCCTGTGCTCAGTATGAGATGCAGGAATCAAGGCAGCCTGCCAGGATTGGGTAGAGGGCTATAAGGCATTTATTGCATCTTATATGGCAGGTTCTCTGTCCTAAAATATTTTCCTAATTGAAAGCAAAGAGGCTGTTTGGCCAGGAATTTCTGGGAATGGAGAATGGAAGCTGTACTCAGGCCCTGCCACCAGAGAGCGACATAACCCTACTCGTTGGTCTGCCCAGAACCCTGTGTCTTAGGCCTGGTGTTGGAAGAGGAAACAATTGCAGGTTTGGTTCGTTCTTTTTAGTTCTAAAGCTCCTCCCTTTTTTTGTGTCCTTTCATTTTATATGGCACATGGGAGAAGAGGGAAACGGGATGGGGTGGGGGAGTCTGGCAGGTCCTTGGCCCCCCAAGTGCAGTTGGTAAGTCCCAGGCCATAGGGCCTCTGCAGGCCCTCCCCACTTCATCCCTATGCCTCTAGTACAGATTCTCAACCTTGGTTCTACATTGGGCCCAACAGGGAAGCCCTCCCATCTCCTCAGTATCCAGCTGCCAGAGCCCTGGCATATGCCTGGCACCATGTTAGCTGTTTCAGGGCAGATGGTTGGAAGCCACCTCTGCCCTCTGGACTGGGCATAGTTACAGAGGCAGCAGTGAAAGCCCTGGACCCAGGATGCAGACACTTGGCTTCAAGTCCCAGCCAGCCCTGTTGGTGGCAACATCTTTCTCCTGAGCCTCATCTTCTCTTCTTAGAATAAGGTAACAGCTGTCCCGAATCCCCTTCCAGGTGGACAGGGGCCCAAAAGACTGAGTGTTTGAGGCAGACTCTAGAGGTCTGCAGCAAGGAGTCTCAGCCATGGCCTCGTTGCGATCACGGAGAGCTTAACCAGTCCCCCTTCTGGGGCTTGTCCCCAGAGGCTTTGAGCTACTTGATCTCAGGTGTGACCTAGGTTTCAGGAATTTTTTTTCTTCTTCTAACTTTCCAAGAGATTCTCCTGTGCTGTGAAGGTTGAGAACCACTGCCTAAAGTGCCCTCCGGGTGTGATGGGTTTTTATTCCTGTTTAACTGGAAAGGCAAGAACTGTTCGCTTGGACAGAGGAACAGAATCTCCAAGGCTGAGGGACAAGAGTCTAGAGTGGCTGTGGCTGTGGCAATGGGGGCATTAACGAGGAGGGGCTTTCTGGGAGAGCCGGGTGATCTGGACAATTGAAGGAGAGGAAGAGTTGGAGAAGGGGCAGGGTGCAGCCTGGGGGAATTAATAAACTCTAGTCAGCCTTTATCTACCAAAGGGCCATGAGGGAGGGCTGGTTCAGTCCATAAGAGATGGTTGCTGCTCAGGCCCAAGAAGCCTGAAATGGAGCTGAATCCTTAGTGGCTGTAACTTGGAGACAGACAGTGGTGGGCTGTGCAGAAGGGAGGAAGTTTCCCCCCTTACTTTCCTTTGCAGCCCAGGCAATGGGCCCCACATCCTTTCATCCCAGATAGCTTGGGCAGAGCCCACCCTCTGGCCCCACTCACTTGGCACCTTTCAGCATGCTTTGCTAAGTTTCTCATGCCCAGAGCATATGTGGGGACAGAGGTGAGGGGTCAGGGAGTGGGGACCTTTGTAGGAGGGGACAAAAATCACCACTGTCCCTCAGACCTCTCAATGTTGTGAATATCCAAAGATAAGACCCTGAATGCTCCTGGATGTTGTCCAAGTTCTTGTTGCTG